AAAGTGTCCAAAGAATCATGTAGTAAAAATGCATGTTTAACATGTGTTTCCAAAGCATAACTGGACACAGGATACTTTCCTTGCCACGCACCTTTCCTGCATTAAGAGGAATGTGAATTTGGGAAACATGGATGAGTATGTCAATTAAGATGCTTTCAGCTGCTAATAACAGAAAACCCAAAAAATCTAGTGTTTATCACACCCTGAAAAGTAGAGGAGATGACTGCTTCCATTGCTTCCGTGACTTCAGTGGGTCGATAATGTCAGGGCCAGCATCTCCAGGATTCTCTTGTCCCTTCCCTCATAGTTACAAGAGGTGGAAACAGTTCCCATTCCAAATAGTGGGAAGGTGTGGGGCTGTCAACAGCATTTCTGGTTTTCATCAAGAAACCAAAAGCCTTTCAGAAGCCACCCAGCAGACTTCCACTCCACCCCTAACTCCAAGCAAGCTGAAATAGCTTCTGTAGTGGAGGCAGACAAGGAAGAAGGGGCTTGGCCAAGACTGGTGGGTGAGCCGATTTACTGTGCCTTCAACAACAGAATTACCTTTAAGGACTTGCATTGTGGTTTTACGCTTTCAGCTTCTGCCAAGAGACACTGTTAGAACCAGTTATATGAAACCTACTGTTGTTTTTATAGTAAGAGCATTCTGTTCATGAGGATGTTGTCCAAAGTAAAAGAACATGATGTAATAAGATTCACATGAGAAACTCTTCCCAGACTCAATACTATCTTCCCCCTCTCTATCATGCTCATTCCAGAGACATTGTTTACCCCCACACAACTCTTTGGGTTCTACCTGGAAGCCACATTCCTGGTGTTGGACCATTCTCTACCAGGTCCTGCAATATTCTCCACATGCACTAAGGAACTGGGCAAGGTTCTTGCTGCTCTAAAATCCACAGATAATCTCTTCTTGTTTCCTTCTGAGTCTTCTCCACTCTTTTCAAATTGTATTTTTACCAATAGACTTGGGTATTTGTAAATAAGATCCCCAATGGAATGTTTTGGGGGCTTCCCCCCCATTTTGAGTGTTACCATATACCTCCTCTGATGCAAAGTGGCACAGTCTTCTGACATAAAAGGAAAAAATATAGGCAGAAATTAGAAATTAGTATTACAAAGATTGCTTGGCCGCACACTTTACATGACAAACTATTCAATCACAAATTAAGATGTTTGATATTTAATGTCTGTCTCTCCCGATTGTAAGCTCTACCCATTTCATACTGTTCAGAGACTCTTCTGTTCCTCACCTTTTGCCAAATGTTTACTCTTCAAGCCACAGCCCCCTCCACCTCTTTCACTCTCAGCAGACTAGCTATGATCTTCTTAGTAAAGAAGGAACTGACAGCCCCTTACTTCACACCTCTATCATTATCCACCCTCTTCTTCACTTCTAGCCAAGGCTGACCCCCTCCATTTGTGCTTGAGATCTCCTCACCTTCTCCGGCATTTTCTGTCATCAATTATCTCGCACTCTCGTGCACTTCAGTTGCTGCTTCCATGCAGACTCTTTCTCCCTCTTTACCTACAAACATTTTCAAGTCCAGCCCTTCCTAAAACATTTGTTAAATACTCTTCAAACTATAGTTCTCCTTTTCCCCCAGACTTCTTGGAAGAATTATCTATACCTGTGGCCTCTACTTTCTATTTTCTTAACCACTTGCCATTCTAGTGAAACTGTATGTCCAGTGACCATTTCTTAGTCCTCTTCCTCTCGTAAGTCTGCTTGCTAGACAAAGTCAATTCAGGTGAGACTCATTTTTCCCTTAGCTTGTGACATTGCATTGCCCTATTTCTTTCTGGCCTCTCCTCGTGTCTTAATCATGCTAGATCTGGGAGAACCAGTTAAAACATCATTGCAATAATCTACTTTGGGGTTAACAAACTAAATGCCCTATTGTCTGTTTTTATAAATAAAGTTTTATTGGAATACCCGTTCGTTTGCATATTGTTTATGGTTGCTTTAGTGCTCCAACAGCCAGTTGAGTAGTTGTTACAGAAACTGCCTATCTTGCAAAGCCTAAAATATTTAATAACTAGCCCTTCATAGAAAAACTTTACTGACTCCATTCTAAGTGATGTTGACAATATGGATCTAGATGAAAGATTGCATACTAGTAAGAATCAAGAGACGGACTACAACATTTATTAAGGAGATGTAAGTGATAGAAGTCGATGACTGATTGGAAGAGGTGCAGTAAGGACACAAAGTTTTTAGTGACACCTAGAGATTTCCAGTTGTGATGTGTGGGTGAATACTGCTGTGTTAACTAAGGGAGGGTAACACAGAGTCAGGAAGTTTGGGTGAGGAGGTGATTTTACTTAGAGCTATTTTACAATTGATGATATTAATACTGTATCCAAGTAAAGATAATACGTATAACTTCAATGCCCAGCAGTAGTATCTGGGTTAAAGAGAAAAATCTGGGTATGCCTAGGTGCCAGAATAAGAAAACAAAATGTGGAACCTAAAAGGGAAGTACTTATCATTTGAAAGTTTCAACACATACCAATTTCTCCTTCCTACAGATTCAGTTGTCAAGTTCTGCACACCATTACTCTCATCACACTTCACGTAAGACATGGTGACTTTATCATGAACAATTGACTGGTTATTTACATTTGTGAATTCACCTACTTGCTAAAATGTATTTGTAACACAAAATCAACACTCATGGTAGAAAATCTGAGTCGCCTGACACAACTCGCTCTCAGCTGAAGTTGAGCAAAGCAATGCTCTGCCCTTTTATTTCAGCTCTTTTAGTATAAAATATCCTTTTGTGTTCTATTTAGTGTCTTTTTCTTTTTGCATTTTTATGCTTTTTGTTGGCGATTTCAGTTTAAAATGGCCCTGAAGCATAGTACAGAAGTGCTGTGTAGTGTTTCTATGCACAAGAAGGCTGTGATGTGCCTTATGAAGAAAATACATGTGTTAGATAAGCTTTGCTCAGGTATGAGTTACAGTGCTATTGGCTGTGAGTTTAATGTTAATGAACCAACAATATATGTTAAATACGGTATCTTTAAACAGAAACATTCTTAAACAAGGTTACCTATTGATCAGCAGAGATGTGTAGGAGTGTAACCGCATACTTCCCCTAGGAGCATGGCTGTGGGAACTTTATAGAACGTAACTACCACAAATAATGATAATTGACTGTACCTTATTCCACAACCAGATTATAAACTTCTTGATGAATCCCTTATTCATCTTTTGTGCAACATACAGCACATTGCCATTCATTGACATTTCTACTACCAGAGAACAGACCTGCTTGTTTTCAAATTTATGTGGCCTTTCTCACAGACAGGATCTAATGAACACACCTGTATTGGAAAGTTCAAAGATGACTGGGGCCAAAGGCTAGAACATCCAGGCAAGCTTTTAAGAACAACAAATTTAGAAATTCTTTAAAAGAAATGACGGCCACAAATGTAAAAAAAAGTGCTTTTTAATTTTTAGCCAGAAAGATCATTAAGTTGGTGTAATAGAGTTGTCTTTTTTTTTTTACAGGAGTATTCATAATAATGTCTGTCTATATGCCTTAAACAACATGATTATTTAATGAAAGTTAAGATGGCAGGACAGTTGTAATTTGCATAAAATTTACAATTATTGTCCTTTAAAATACTTTCATAAAATTATAATTTGGTAATAATCCCCCAAATTGGAAGTCAGATAATTTTAACACAATCTTGAAATTAAAGTACAATTGTTTACGCAATAATGAATATGGACAAGTCTGTAAGTCAGATATCAAACCGAAAATTCAAAAATAAAGAGCAGAAATGTAAACAGTTATAAATATCGACATTGATAAATGTTGCTTAGAACAAGACTACTCAAAGTATGGACCATGAACTATCTGTGACCCATCCAAAATGAAAGAAAGAGCTTATGCCAGAATGAAAATCAATTATGTCACTAATCACACTAGTTCAGCTGACTTTTTTTTTCATAACAAGACTTTCTTGACAGAGGAAGCAATGTGTTTATTTACATTCCAGCACAAGCACCTTATCTCATTACAGGCTGGAGAACAGGTACTGCTTACTTCTCTTAAAAGTGCCATTATAATTTCACTGCTCAGAGTTAGGTTAATTTTACTGTAAGGAAAAGAATTAAAATGACAATTGTAATTGTCATCTATACATCATCTATTTTTAAATCCCATCTATCCAGAGATCCTATTCAAAAAGCAAATTAAACCTTATAAAATCATCACAATTTAACATTTGTCATATGTTTAAAGTGTTACTGACATCTACCCATTCAGAGGGGTTCTCTAGATTCCCACTTTAGTGAGATGCATCATCTCCTTCTGATACTTTTTTTTTTTTTTTTTTCAATCTTAGGAGAAAAAGAACTGAGTCATTTGCTAATAAGGTCTCTTAAAAGAGTGGCTTATTTTCACATTTCAATCAGCGAAAATATTTTAAAACGCCTTTATGAAAAGATTGGATTTTTATATTCTTTGTGCAACCACTAGTTGCTTCTTTATGATAAAACTTAATGTTAGGGGAAAAGGTATAGAAATTTACAACTCTGTGTTTTCCATTAACTAAGGGGAAACATAAACTATTTTAAGATTCCTCAGAGGAAAAGAAAACTGGTATAAAATGTTTTTTTAAAAAACTATCTTATAACTTAAAATTCAAACATTTCTTGATTTTTATTTTTTGGTATGGCATAATTCCTCTAAAAATTTACAAATATAATATTGTCTTTTGGAAAAGTAATCATTTCCTCCTTCTCCAATGGCTTACTGAGCTTTATCTGCATTATCTTAATACTGAAGGCAAATAAACGGACAATCAACAATTTAGAAACAACTCATCAGTTTTAGATATACAAGAGCTCCATTTAGCTTCTGCAATGTCCAGTTTATTGGACCAATAAACTACTTCTTAAAAGAATTTAAATGTATATGTATATGTCATAAGAGAGCTCCTTAGGCACCTGAGTTGAGCACAATACGCCAGAGCAAAGAATCTTTAAGAGAAAGTTGTCTAAAGACTATATTTTATCAATTTATACATATATACATACACTTATACACATATGCACACACACACACACACAAACGTACAAGTAGAAGTAACTTTTGCTTAAAAAATGTTGATATCAAAATAATTCACCATTTAGTCAAATAAAGTGACCTCACAGTTATTTAAAACAGTTTTAAGTTATTACTGAAGAATTTGATGTCTTATCAAAAGTCTGAGAAGTTAAGGTTTTCGAGTAATATATGATTCAAAGGGGAGACACCAGGTTGTTGATTTTTTGTTTTGTTTTGCGAAAATATAGTTTCTTTTGATACAGTAGCATGGTCATGAGATCACAATTATCTTAACAAGATAATACAACAGACTTTTTAATGGTCATCAGGCGGAAACTCATCATAGATTGTCCAAAAAGGAGTAAATTTCCCCACCATTAGGACTGAACACAGTCACTGGCCACTAGTCAAACATTCTGCTCTCTCTAGACTTACTTTCATTGGTCCCAGCAAAAGACCACACCTAGAGGCCACTCTGCAGATGGCCTTACACTGAGCCTCCTCATGCACTAGGAATTTTACACAATAAATATTAAGCTATTACACGTCGTCATGTTTATGATCACATCAGCCTTGCTACTGCTGACTCTAGCAATGTGTTAACAGTCCCACTGGTGCTATGATACTTTTTATGCATTCTTTTAGAGCTCTGAATGACTGGCTTGTGTTCTAAGACTGAGAAAACATCTAAAATTCAGTAAGCTGCCTGAGTCTGTCAACATTTTCTTCTATACTCAATTAATAAATACATTTGACTGACTAAAAATAGAGCATATTTAGTTTTACCTAAGTATCTTCTACTCCAGAGATTCTGAAGGATGAGAAACCTCTACACTTGCATAGTATCTACATTCCATCTTCCAGGCTTTACTAGATGTGAAGTATGTTGAGAATAGGAAAAAGACATTTAAGTTAAAAAATAAAGCCATGCTACTCTTTTCTCTGTTTCAATTTGTAGAAAATATCCCTGATCAGGTTTCTAACTTCTATGCTCAGGTTAAAGGACCTCTCTCACATAGCAGACCATCTGAATTAAGAATCTTATACAGTTCCAAAATATTTGCAATTGAAAACATTTTCAATTGTAAAATGTCTCTTAAGCAACTATAAAGTAGTTTATATTTTGGCTTAATCTTTACACTGTTTTCCTAAACAATTATGTCAATAGAGGCATGGCACAGGACTCACTTTAGAGAGAGACCCTAAGTTCCGTTGTCTTCATTTTATTCAGTTTACAATGACCACAACATAACCCAAACCACTTTTTTTTTCCTGATATATATAAAACATTTTGATAAGTTCACCTGAACTTGAATTCTTTCATTAACATGTAAACTCACATGTACAATTTTATTTTTTGTCATATATTTAAATATTTTTTCTCCTCTGTAGAGCTATCTCAGGATAGGAAATGATATTATGCTAGCAACCAGTAACTTAGCATTAAAACACTTCCCTAAATTCTTCTATGCAAAAGTGCATTTATGATATAAACATGTCAAATATGAAGCTACAAACCACAATCTCACACTGGAGTGGATTTAAAATTTCAAATTCAGTCCAAATGAGTCAAAGGGAAAAGTGCTAACAGAGCAAATCTGAAACAAGTTCATGGGGATTGGGCAACGAGTCATCGAAGCGAAATCTTTTGGAAACCATGCTGCTATCCTCTGGGATATTTTCTTTGTCTTCTCGATTACCACAGGTTCCATTACAAGAGGATTTAGAAGTCTTGTCTTCAGAAGACCTTACAGTATGATCCTGAATTTGAGAGGAACTTGAAGTCTCTTCAGGGTGAAACAAGTTTCCAAAGTCCCATTGTTGTAGCCAAGAATGAGAGAGGCAGATTTCTGCTGTTGGTCTTTTCCTTTTAGAAGAAAACACCAAGGGAAAATTAAGAACTAAAAATAAAGTTGAAGGTATCTTCGGTTTGATAAATTATAGGCATATTTCTCATTTATTATGAGAATAACACATACTCATAGTATAAAATCCAAACAGTACAGAAGAGATTAATAATGATAACAGCAATTAACATTTAATGAATGCTTAGTTATACATCAGGGACTATTCTATATGCCTCAAATATATTATCTATTAATCACAAGAAACCTAGGAAATAATAATACTCTTATTCTCCTCACTTAACAGATATGAGAAGTAGAATATAAGAAGTTTAAATTTTGTCCCAAATTTCCTAACTTGTAAATGGTACAGTCAAGTGGAACCTTGACTCTATAGTCTGTGCTTTAAAACATTGCACCATGTTATTGCACGTGAAGGTAAAAAGTAAAATTATTTGTTCTGTTCTCTCATTACCCAGTCCTACCTCCAGATATTTACTCTATACATATATGTATGTACACACACACATGCACACAACACATGCACAGGTTCCTTCCCACACTCCACATATTTCTGCAATTTGCTTTTTTAAACCCACTCAACAATGCATCTTAAGCATCTTTCCACATCAGTGAAGTGTTAATACATTCATTAACAGCTGTTATTATTTAGTACTCTTTCAAACAGATACAACATAATTTATTAGACCAGCTCCCCACTGATGCTGCCAGCATTTTGGTATTACATATAACACTGTGATAAACATTGAGAAAATGTTTTTTGGAACTTCTCTGATTATTTCCATAGGGTAGATTACCAATAAAGTTACTGGGTCTTTATATTTTGAAAAGGGGAGCTTAACTGCCCTCCAAATAACTTCTAATACTCAGTCTTACCAATATCTTCTCCAATATTATGAAAAAAAATAATCCAAGTTGTCTTATAGCACTTTCATGGTTTTACTTTTTGAGCATAAATCTTTATTCCATCATGAACTTATATTTATCGAAGGAGAGAGATGAAAACCGCTTTATTTTGTCCAATACACCTTACATGGAGTTTTTAGTAGACAAAAAGTAGTTTCTCCAGTCAGAAATCTTGACTCTAGTCTGCCATTGATTAGAAGACAATGGAAACTGCACTTAATTTTGAGACTTTTTACTGCGGAAGGAAATACTTGCCTTATTTTCTAGGCAAATGATAGATTTTTTTTCTTAAACAAAACTGACCAGTTCAAGTGAAAGGTATTCTATAAATATAGCTGGTAAACAAACATGTTATCATATTGCTTGATTCAACTATACGTGAAGACACAGAATAAAGAGTGAAAAAAATCAAGGAAAGTTTAGCCTTTGCATTTCCTCATCACCTCCAAGCCTGATACCTGCTCAGATGTGAATTCACAGTGTTTCCTACTTATGATTGCTGAAAGAGAGAAAACTGGAATACCTAGAATTTCTTTAAATCTGACATGTGCTGAACATTCAATTTATCATAGAGTTTACAGAGGAGAATCTAGTCAAAAAGCTTGAGAACATATATTAGCTTAACAAATAAAAATTAGTCAAATGATAAAAATCTCGGGTTTACAAACTCTTTGGAGGAAAATATATCTAAATAATTTATATTCTCTATTATTATCTTGTGTTCTTAAAAGCAGTAATGGCTAACTCTTAAAAGCAAAGTCTAGTCTTCAATGATGTTTGTCCAACACTTTGCATTTTTAAATTTTGTTTTCTATTATGAAAGTAATATGATCAAATACCACAATTTTTCAAAAGGAGGGAAAGCTCCCACCTATACTTATAACTCCAACCTTAACACAACCGCCATTACCATTTGGTGTATGTTTCCTTAGACTTCTGTTTTTATGTTCAGTTTTTTTTCTGACTATGAAATAATTAATGTACACTCATCATAGAAATTTTAGAATTGGGGAAAAAATATTTAAAATAATGAAAGTTGCTTATAACCAGAAGCAACTGCAGTATTATTACGTTTTCTACTAAATAACCTTCATGTCCAAAATATAGCCAGTGAGAGTTTGTTTGAACTTGCATTTACCAATAAAATAATTAAGAAACCTGTGAGGTTTTTTTTCTTTTTTTTTAAATGGATAAAGAAAAGGAGTCCTCAAGGAGATTAAGTGATTGTCAGAGATGAAAGACCCAGAAAAGTAAGGAAATCAGGATCCCAGCCCAATGCACAATATATCAAAATTTCTACATTTTCTGTAGCCAGACTATTTTAAAGTAAATAGGGCTTCTCCTCTCCTTGCCTTGAAGTTGCCAATGAGTAAGAGTCCTCAACCATAGTTTCAAGGTCCTTCTTTAGTAGGCTGCCAAAGGGCATCTGATCCTTCAAGGTTTGACAATCAGTAATTTCTACTTGTAGCATAACTATAATTTTTAACTACAAATCCTTCACAAAAAAGTCTTATAACCAGCCATGTTTACTATAAACTTTCTATTTCTAATTCTTCTAGGGAATTTCAGGGATTAGTAGCAGGTTGAGAGAGAAATTACCCAAATCTCTTCACTCCAAAATTTCCTATTATCTATTTTATATTTGAAGTTACGTATTTATTATTTAAAGATCTTTCATACCATTTCACTCCACATTTAACCTGAAACTTGAGCATACATCTAATAATATTATATACTATTTTAAAATGTATTTTTCTTAATAGACATATATTATTTATTTTTTAGTAGTATTTAAACAAACTAATATTATTACTTACTCTGGATTTTTTACTAAAAGGCTCTGGATAAAGTCTGTGGCCAGATGTGAAACTGATGAAAAAGTTTCTTCTGAATAATCTACATTAACTTGAGAAATGTTTAGGTATGTTTCTTGATTGTCTTCTCCCACAAATGGTGATGTATGAGTTAGCAACATATATGCTATTATTCCAATATTCCTGAAAAACAAGGGAGAAGAGGAGAACTTAAAATGTGTATTAATTTTAAAACATTTATATAAAGTACAATTGATACTCTACATATTCCTGTCCTCAGAACTGGTACAGTTAAACTACAGACTTTAATTGCTTTTCAAAGTTCCTGTAATATACTATTAAAACTAAAATAATTGTACTATCTCAATGTTTGCCTCACAGAAAGAGAATACAAGGGAATGCATGTGTGTGTTATATAATATAATGTGTATGTGTGTGTGTATGTATCTCTCATATCTACAATCTACCCTTCACACAGACACCTGTTGACTAGTCCATGAAGCTGCTATGACAACTCCTAAATGGTGTCCAATGATACAGTAATGATCTGAGATAAAAAACAGGGCTTCTGTACAAATAGGGGCTGCAAGTTTGGCAATGCACAAAGCTGGGCCGGCAGTTTTCCACTGCAAAACTTTTCAAACCCTTAAATATGTTAAGAACAAGTCTGGCACTCAGGAGCCAGAAAAAGATAATACAATACATGTTTCACAAACTTATTTAGCCATAGGATCTTTTTTCCTGGGCAAACTCATTAGCAGTTCCATGAAACAGAGGGAATAAGTCTGAACTCTTCCATTTGAACTATGGAGTCAGTCCCGCACTGTTGTCCCAACTGAAGTTCCAGTATGAATTCTGGTTCTAGTCCCTATCATGTTCTCTTTGTGCTAGCCACAAAAACTCACAATTCCCTGGAGATGTACTCTCACAAAACTGAACTTTTGTGTTGACCTGACCTCATTTTTCTGCTTAGCAAATAACTTCTCCTAACTCTTCTAGACCTATATCAGATGTCTCCCATTGCTAGGTGGGCCCTAACAATGCAGTATCTGCTGCTTCTATTCTTATTAAGCATTTTACCTTAAGTACAGAACATGTACCACTGTACTGTGGTTACTTTGTTCTTTCACTTAGCTGAGTCTTCAACAAAGAAAGGCATTTTCCTATTTATATCTGTACCTTTGGCTCAGAGCTAAGTGTCACTTAAGAAGAAGGAACAAGTAAATATTTTCCTGTGGCATAATAATGACGCTCTAATAAAATCTTTTAAAGAAAGTCTTATTATTTACACCTGGAATGAAAGAATCTCAGAATATACATTACTCAACTTTCAATAAAGTCATTCAGGTAACTAACAAAATCTTACCACATATCTGTTGCTGTGGTAATAGGATCATAGTTCAGAATTTCTGGAGCTGAAAGAAAAAATAAAGTTCAAATTTTATACTGACAAATTTAAAACATTAAAATTCTATTAAATTAGAACTCGATTTAATTTTGGAAAGCTGAGTGATATAATATCAATAGAAATTTAGCATAGTATTAATTATCCTGTTATTGGACATTTAAACATATCTAATATTGTGCAAATTATATGAGCAGTTTGCTCAAAAACACTGCCAATATTCTTGGAGTAACTGAATGCTATGTAGTTTAAAGAAACACAACTCATTAAGATGAGTCTCAGAAAAAGCAATTATGAAAAAGTAAAATGTTAGAAGCTGAAATCTTTTTAAAATTTTAGTTTTATTACTTTGTTAGGAATTAACTTGCATTATTTTATTACACTGATATAAGTTTTTCTTCTCACGTTAAATACAATCATATGCATTTACAATGACATTATGAGCAAATTATGCTTCTTGGAAATTCTAGATTTTTAAGTAGATTAAATATTCCTCCTAAATTATCAAAAACCTAATTTCCTACACAATTTATTTCCTGCTGTCTCTTCCTCTACCAAAAAAAGTGCAAAATAAATTCTCTATACCTTCTAAACATTAGCCTGTATTGCAAATCAGTAGAGTCCAAACTAGAATTTATGATTGAAAAATAATTTGTTTCATAACTTCTTCAAAGAGAAAGTGTTTCCTAAAGCCTAACATTTTTGTTAATAAAGCCTTTGATTCATATAAATTGTCAGCCTCTGTTAAACCACCTACAACCTTTCATGTACTTTTGTGAGCTGTGTTATCAATAATTACAATCATTTATTCTTGGACACTACCGCACCCTATTAGCATTCAAATGTTAGTAATTTGCTTTAGTTTTGCATTTTGGGGAAAGATAGCTGCCTAGCTGAGCGGCACCTGTTCTGTTTTCCTGTATCTTTTCAATGCCCGCACAGGAATATCAATATGAGCAACAAGAAAAGGCAAAAAGATTCTTACTATAAATTCAAATATTTTAAACTTATGTGCTGCTTCATACAACTTCAAAATATTTCATATGCCTAAACTAATTTGTTGGCTTAGTACAATATTCTTAGATTACCTACTTACTCATAAGTTCTTTTTGGCACCCTTCTTCAAAACCCTCCCCTCGCATTTTAAAGCAGCAGCAACAAATAACAAGGAGTTGCCCTGCTGACAATTCCTGCAAACCTGAAGATATTTGCTGCGAACAGCTTTGGAGTTAGGACTGACAGAAGTAGAAGTGAGATCTATGCAATAACCAGGGTTCAAGGGCAATCTATGGGCCATTTGATTCTCCCACTTTTTCTCTTTTCCAATTTTTCTCCTGTTCCCTAACATTCCTCTTTCACATTTCTTTTATCCTTACGTACAAAGCCTTTATACATAAGCATTAAACTTTTGCGCTTATATGTTCAATGTCCTGTGAATTGTTGTGAATGTTTGTAAATACTCTTACATTTACGACAGTTCATTTAAATGTGTCATAGACAATTTTCGATGCATTAAAATACCTGAACCAAATAAATCCTGGAATTACATGCTTTAAAATACAGTTTTATAAAGGTATCATTTAAATAATAAATTTCAAGATGGTGTAGAAAATGAAAGGAAATTCTTACCTAAGTATTCTGGTGTTCCCATGATTTCCCGCAGTTCACATGCATTCCCTATTTTTCGAGACATTCCAAAATCTACAATTTTTATGTCCCCAAGAGGGTATATGCTGCTCAATAATATATTCTGTGGCTAAATAAAGCACAACAAAAATAGTAAGTAATATATAATAAAAGAATAGTAATCTCAGATTGGAGATAAATTCAGTGGAATTTATTGCTTAAGCTACTATATATATCATTGAATCATTAATCGAACATTTACTGAATTACTATTTAGGAGGAGCTATACATTCAATGACGCATAAAGCCAAAAACACACTCAAGAAGGATTCTAGGTTTGGAGGGAAAAGATGATAGATGGATGGATAGATTATACTATAGAACACTGAGTACAGACTACCTAATTCTGCCATAAGAAAGTCCAAGAAGGCTTTTCGGTAGAGAGGATGCTTAAGCTGAGTCTTAAAGGATAAGTGGGAGTAAACCAGTTAGAAAGGTGCTCTGGGGAATAGCATGGGAAAAGGCATGAAGGAATGACCACACACATACATTTCCAGAAACAAGAAATGGTTCGGTATAGTATGTTGGTTCTGAATAAGCTGAGTCCGACTGTTCCCAGGTTTTCAGCTTAGACAGTAAGATGCATGGTATGCTTCATCATTGCCTCTGAGGACCCGTGACTTTGTTTCATTATTGCAAGCCTATGGCCTATTACAAAGTTCCCCACTGCTGTCATAACCCACACACTGCTGAGGCACTCACTGCTCCCAAAGTCTGTGTGAAGGATCATACCAGTCTCTTAACTTCAGGAAAATCTCATGGCTGTTTATTATTAAATCACAGAGATCATTACAGGAGAAAAGGTAAGGGTAATTAGTTCTGTTGTTGTCAACTACAGGATTTATGGTATATATGCCATCCTTGACTTCACATGCTATGTGATACACCTGGGTTGTCTTTAGCAGGAAAAAGACCCAACAGGAAGCTGATGGGAGCATGATTATACTGGCATTTACTCTGCTGCTTTTTTTCCAATATCTTATCAGTAGGAGAACTGGTAGAAATGCTGGATGGTAAACACTGCACCCCCTCCATGGGGCGTGGGGTGGGGGGAGGCCATACAAAAGAACAGATTTTTTTTTTAAGGGGTAAGAGAAAGAAGAAAAGAGGAGAAGTCTAGTTTGAGAAATGTAAATTTTAAAGTTTAAACAAAACATCCAAATGTTATCTAATCTGCAGTTGAAAAAAAGAATCTGAAAATTAGGAGAAAGGCCTGGGTTATAGGCAGAGATTCTGGAATTATTATTATTATGGAAGTGGTAATGGAAGCCACAGGATCATGCAGGGAGACTGTATACAAACAAAGAGAAGAGTTTCACATTCAAAAATAACAGACAAGTGGACTCAGATTTTAAGGTTGTCTGGCGGCTACAGAGGAAGGATAAGGAGAAAAAATAGTAACACGAGAGGCTGAAGTTTCAGGGGCTTAAGAAAGGAGCCTGAATGATCTGGGAAAAGCCAAAAGACTGAAAGCCCAAGAGAAAGATGAATGAGTATAATGAAAGCAAAGGAATGAGGATTAGAGGGAGTTTATCTTCAGAGATGGGGATTAGAATCGAGTATTTCAGAGGTAGACAGTTTTAGAAAACAAGGTCCAGAATGTGGCTGGTAAGAGTGGGATGGAGGGGAATGATTGTAGGATTAGAACATACAGGAATGATGCATTTTAATAGCTCAGTGATTAATTAGAGCTGCTCACACATGCAGTCTTCTCCTGTCTGCCAATACAAAATTAAGTCTATGTAGTACATAGGAAAGTAAAGGGCACACCCAGTGCAGTCTAGACAACCATATGACTATTGATTCATGTCAATACCAGCTTGCAACTGCGCATACCAAGAGTGGAGAAGGTGCGTTATTTTAAATCACATGTTACCTTACCTTTAAATCAAGATGTACAATGTTATTCTGATGTAGATAATAAACTCCTTCAAGTATTTGTTTAATGAGTCTGATAACATCATTTTCAGTGACCATTTCAGCCAGCTCAGGTAAACACAGGTTGAAAATTTCTCCACCTGCAGCACTGAAATAAAATTTAAAGATATAGAAAAATATCTTGAAATTCACTTGAAAAATCATTTACCTAAAAATGATAACTTTTAAATACTGTATACCTGTTAAGTAAATGACACTTAGCCACCTAAACTTTAGTGCATATATATACACTTAAGGACAGGGTGGGGAAGGGAGAGTGATCTTTAGGGAGAAAATAAATGACAAGAATATTTTCAATTCTAGGTACTAATATGTGGATTTTTAATAAATAAAATAAAATTGCTTTATAATCCAATGATGTAGTTTGGCTTAACTCTTACTGTTTTTTTAAAGTAGTTTATATAAATATATATATATGTGAATGAATATCACCAATTTTGATCCTCATGACAATCATGTGAGGTAGGTGGTTATTATTCTCCATCCCACCCACTGAAAGTTCTGAAAATTCATGAGAAATTAGCTTTCATATCTGTCTCAAGGTAACATGGTAAAGACAATCTGAGTATTGAAAATTTTAGTTTGCTATTAAATTAAATTTATAGTAGTAAACTCCAAAATAGGATATAGAAAGACTATATCAGAAATTCACATTTTTTATACCTAAAAAGGAAATAGATTAATCTTCATAAATATTTTATATAGACTGCCCTGGCAGCCCCTTGGTCTGCATGTCAGTATTTACTTGTCACGCACCCCCTCAAGATCTCCTAAGGGAAAAGTGGGAACCCACTGTTACAGGCTGGCACGAACCCCTCACTAATTCCTTTCATGGCTAAATTATTTAGTTATAACTAAACAAATTCATTCAAATCAGAAAGTGGTCTAAATATATTCCCGCAAAAACACTTGAGGTGATATTACTAATAATATTTTATTAGGTAATATTACAAATGCAATCACAACCAAATAAGAAAATAAAAAGATGACATTTTAGATTTTCTTAGAATAGGTTGCTAAGCACTTCACAAGATGTAAATACTGATGATCTAATCCTATCTTATAAGAAATCAGACCAAATAATTTGAAGTCACAGGAAAATTGTATAAAATAAGGATTTACTTATTTACATCCACTATAAACATTAAAAAAACAGAAAGATCTGAATTCTTCATATGTACAGCAACATAAATTGTTTAGGTAAGAAATTTATTCTTGAACACTATGATTACTTATGGACCAACATTCTATATTATATTCACTAAAGTTAATAACCAGAACCCTCTATCAATTCTAAAATTCAAAACAAAATACAAGAAAACAAACAGAAAAAAGTATGGAAAATACTTCCTAGTGCCTAGGAAATAAGAGACAGGACAGCAGGATGCTTACAGGGGGGTCTACTGACATCAAGAGTGCCTGGGTTTCATTCTAGCCTTGTCACCAACTAGCTCCGTGAACTGGGATAAATTTGCCTCTGTTTCTTCTACTGTAATATATGAATAATATAGCTCCTACTTCATTGGTGTAAAAATCCATATAACACATTGAACACAATGAATGCTATAAAGATCAAAGTAGATCATCTCTATAAGTATTTATCACAGTGTCTGACACACGGTATTCAATAAGCATTAGCTAATATCACAAAGGATTAAATCTAAATAAAATAAAATTGGCCAGGCAGACATCATGCAAAAAACCCTAGATGGTTATTCAACAAATTTATACAGTATGTTTGGGAATACTCAAGTATATTCTCTGTGAAAAAAGAGAAAATCACTCACTTTAGAAAATACCATTATTTTTATTTCTTTGATTCACTGCTGTATCTACAGCATCAAAAACAGTGTCTGGCATGTTGTAGATGTAGTAGGTATGTGTTTGTTGAATGAATAAATGAATGAATGATGGAATAGGCAGTCATTCTTCAAAGGGGCTGAAACTGGGACTCAGAAGTCTCAGTGACTGCCAAAAGGAAGAAACATGTTATTAGGAGCCATGAGAAGAAAAAATAACGGTGGTCTCAAATTTGAGTCCCAAGTTGAAAATCACAAGGACTGATATGTCACATTGCAGATATATAACCTGCAACTGAGTCATCTGTACAGTGTGCCAGTCAAAAGCCACAGGGATTTGCTGCTTTATGCTTTATTTATGACACTGCAGGAAAAGCTCTCTGTAGGATAGCTCAAAAGGAATATGTGCGAAAGCTCCAATCACATACACTTCATTTCAATGCCATCCCACCCACTGAAAGTTCTGAAAATTCATGAGAAATTAGCTTTCATATCTGTCTCAAGGTAACATGGTAAAGACAATCTGAGTATTGAAAATTTTAGTTTGCTATTAAATTAAATTTATAGTAGTAAACTCCAAAATAGGATATAGAAAGACTATATCAGAAATTCACATTTTTTATACCTAAAAAGGAAATAGATTAATCTTCATAAATATTTTATATAGACTGCCCTGGCAGCCCCTTGGTCTGCATGTCAGTATTTACTTGTCACGCACCCCCTCAAGATCTCCTAAGGGAAAAGTGGGAACCCACTGTTACAGGCTGGCACGAACCCCTCACTAATTCCTTTCATGGCTAAATTATTTAGTTATAACTAAACAAATTCATTCAAATCAGAAAGTGGTCTAAATATATTCCCGCAAAAACACTTGAGGTGATATTACTAATAATATTTTATTAGGTAATATTACAAATGCAATCACAACCAAATAAGAAAATAAAAAGATGACATTTTAGATTTTCTTAGAATAGGTTGCTAAGCACTTCACAAGATGTAAATACTGATGATCTAATCCTATCTTATAAGAAATCAGACCAAATAATTTGAAGTCACAGGAAAATTGTATAAAATAAGGATTTACTTATTTACATCCACTATAAACATTAAAAAAACAGAAAGATCTGAATTCTTCATATGTACAGCAACATAAATTGTTTAGGTAAGAAATTTATTCTTGAACACTATGATTACTTATGGACCAACATTCTATATTATATTCACTAAAGTTAATAACCAGAACCCTCTATCAATTCTAAAATTCAAAACAAAATACAAGAAAACAAACAGAAAAAAGTATGGAAAATACTTCCTGGTGCCTAGGAAATAAGAGACAGGACAGCAGGATGCTTACAGGGGGGTCTACTGACATCAAGAGTGCCTGGGTTTCATTCTAGCCTTGTCACCAACTAGCTCCGTGAACTGGGATAAATTTGCCTCTGTTTCTTCTACTGTAATATATGAATAATATAGCTCCTACTTCATTGGTGTAAAAATCCATATAACACATTGAACACAATGAATGCTACAAAGATCAAAGTAGATCATCTCTATAAGTATTTATCACAGTGTCTGACACACGGTATTCAATAAGCATTAGCTAATATCACAGTAAGCCAACAAAACTTAATTCCAACTCTACCCAACATCCATCCACTTTAAATTTGGGGCTTCTTGTTAAACCTCTGAGTTTGAAGGAAATATTTTAAGTCTTTGCTAAATTAAAATTTATTTTTAGAAACACTATATCATATATATAAAAATACATACAATGTACCCTTAGGTGAAAAAAGAGGGCAACAAAGGCATACGCCCAGTAGATCACAATTCTGTTTTTAAAGGTACATATGCACAGACAAAAAAATAAGAATAATTTTTAAATACAGTAATATGCCATAAAGTAACCATACTTTACATATGATTTCTATTTTCTATATCTTCTAATTTTAACACAATGAATAAGTTATTACTTTTATAACCAGGAAAAGTATCCTAAGGATTTCTGCTTGTTTGTTTCACTAACAAGATCACACAAATGCTATGACTGTCAGCCAATCACATTGTCCTTCCTTTTAGTTTGGCAAGCTGATAAATGTTCTTTTGAAGGACTGCCATTTTTCACACAAAAGAGGGACACAGGTGGAGCTATGGGAAATAGAAAATTAGAAAGAGAAGCAAGAAGCAAATTGCAGAAGTTGGCAGAAATTGGAAACAGAAATGGAAGCAGTAAGCAGCAGACAAGCAGACGCTTTGTTAAATCAAGCCACGCAGAGCAGTGACTACAAAAAAGAACAAATGTCTCTACAGTCAGAAAAGCCATCTAATCATTACCATTGAAAGGTACATTCAGGGTACTTCTGCTCTTTCTCTCTCTATAAGAGTTTGCTCCTTGAAGAGACATCAAAACTAACAAATTTAGAAATTTGGCATGTTTGTGTTCATTTGCCTATGCATGTTTACATGTGTTGTTTGTGAGTTTATGTGATAATAGTACTTTAGGACAACTATACCATCATGTAAACCTATGTGCTACATACTATCTAGATCTACATCTGTCTTTTATAGCTTTCTGAAGCACAGTTTAAAAATTAGTAGGGAAGTAGAGAACATCTTTTAGAAAGACTCTCACAACATAATAAAAATAAAGTTAACATAAAAGATTACGATCAGAATATTTTTCTATCAAAAATAATGGATTTTTGTGAGTACCAGGGAGCCAAGATTTTCAGTAAAACAAAGTAATATCTCAATTATCTGTAAAATACAAATCTAGTCACATAGCTTTGCAAAGCCACGGAAAAGGTTTGTAAAATAAGTACTTATCTCTAGTGATCAAAATGAAGTAGTTTTATATTTTTTTTTATTAAGAGTCTCTTTTGAAATTATATTCCTAAGCTAAAGGTGGAAACAAAGCTCATGAAATTTTAGAATGTGCCACGGAAAAGGTTTGTAAAATAAGTACTTATCTCTAGTGATCAAAATGAAGTAGTTTTATTTTATTTTTTTTTATTAAGAGTCTCTTTTGAAATTATATTCCTAAGCTAAAGGTGGAAACAAAGCTCATGAAATTTTAGAATGTAAAGGAAGTACAGTTCTTCTCTATACCTCTAAACTAGAATATGTGATGTGAATACCATTCTCCCTTTTTGGAGGATTGTTTTAAGAATCAAATGAGAATACACAAACAGTGCTTAGCATCATGCTTTATATATAGTAAATGCCCAGCATATGTGCTGATTATTAAAATTACATTAAAATGTACTGCTGTGGTGATTGAGATCATTTAAGAAGGTAAGGCTTTCTATTTTGCGTGGTCTGTTATAGTCTTCATCATTTTCTGTTGGGTCCATAATATTTCCTTAAAGATGTTTAACAGATGAAATTTTGTAATTTCTTGACAAAAAGAAAATATAATTTCTCTCTCATATAATCTCAGAGTTGTCTCTGCTGTGCAAAGGCAAGTTTCCTTTTTGAGTTTTACTATTTCTAGGACAAAGTTTTTGTCCCGTGTTCTCCAAAAAATAAGGATTCTTTATAATCAATTTTAGTTTGCTCAAAATTCAGCATCAGAACTTAGTATGCCCAATTAGATAATACTTTCTTTCCAGAAGTTTAAGAAAAAGCTTTGTATATGTTTTATTTAATTCTCCAAATATGCTTTTAAAACAGCTAGTATGGAAAACTATGAAACTATTTTATATGTATTGTTGGACAAAGCAAATGAGTAAGTATTGTTGAGAATCAGGGCTCCACTGTGGGGAAGCGGAGATAAAAATTTAGAATGTGAGAGATGACAAAGAATCTTAATGGTTGTGGACTTGAATCACAACTATGAGAATGAACTCTTGATTTCTAAAAAATATAATTTCTTAACACTATTCTTAGAAAAGGCAATGATACCTTTGAAACAATGATAGAAAACATGATAGAAAAACAATGATACCTACGAAAAATGATCATGTCCAACACCGCATCTTGGTTTCTAAATACCATTCCCCACTAAACAGAACCAGAACTTCTCGGAGAGAAGGTTGATTACAGGTCTGGGACAGGAAAGATACAAGATGACCCTGGAAATCTTGGTATATTAAGCAAGCAACTCCTCAAGCACTAAAGAGATCATATCAAAAGAACACAAAGTAGCTTGAAAGGGACCACTGAAAAATTTGGGATAATCTGAGCATGAAAAAAAAATAGTGGCAGAAACTGATTACAACCCATTAACTAAAACACAATGAGCTATTTTTAATTAATGTTATTTGTTAGTTTAATTAACAAAAGCATGAATCCTAGTGATATTAAAAAGGTGGGGGGCAAAGATGGAAGCACTTCTTTACAGAGGAATGCCAGCTTACTAAATTTAGAAGAAATAATAGAATTAGATATCACCATTTTCTGACATCCATTATAATAATTAAGTCAAGCAAGTGTATGAACAGTTACTGAAATCGCTGGATTCAAGTTGTTAAAGAGGAGAATACACACAGTCTCTAAATATCACTACACAGATTACTCATTAATCACAAAGGGAAATGTTTTTTTACAATTGGGAGAGATAGCAGCCTCTACCTTAACCATGTTAAAATTTAACACAACCAATAATGAAACAGCCTGACATTACTGCCACCTGATACGATACAGTAAGAAATACACATAATCACCCACACTGTCTTCTTGACAAAAATGTTTAACCTAAATATAATCATGAGGAAACAGACACATCCAAAATGCAGGTCATTTCATGTGACAAATGATATAGATTTTCCCGCAAAAAAGTCAATGTCATGAAAAATAAAACAAAATTACTAAAGAAGTTTAACAACAAAATACAGGATGTGAATCTTGACTAGATTTTATATTAGAAATTTTGTCTTAGGTCTATAGGACAGTATGTAGACAATCAAAGAAATTTAGATATAGACTATATATTAGATCACACTACTGAATTACTGTTAAATTTCTTAGGTTTGATGCTGGTGTTGGTTATGCAGAAGAGTGCACTTATTCTGTAAAATGAATACTTCAGTATGCAAAGGAGAAATATACTTACAACTTCCAAATGCGTTCAGTAAATGTGGCAAAATTTCAACAACTGATGAATCAAAGTGAAGGGTGTTAATTATACTATTTTTCCAACCTTTCTGTAGATTTGAAATTTTGTAAAATAAAAAAGTCAAGGAAGAAAAATGAGTATGTGGGATGGTTTGAGGTGGAAATCAAATTGGTAACAGTCAACAAAATAAAAGGTTCCACCATTTTATTTTCACTATATAAAAATTATTCCACCTTATTAAATCAACTAAACCTTTCTGACCAAATATTTATCTTCAACTGAGACTATATGATTTAATAATGCCACCCCAAAAGCAATAGACATAATAATTAATGCAAAGTCCTACCAATAAATTTTAGTAGGTCTTGGTCACATTAAATATAGTTGGCCCTCTGTCTCCATGGGTTCCACATCTGTAGATTCAACCAACCACAGATCAAAAATATTCAGGGGAAAAAAATGGTGTCTGTACTGTACATGTACAGACTTCTTTTTCTTGTCATTATTCCCTAAACAATACAGTATAACTACTCACATAGCATTTACATTGTGTTAGGTACTATAAGTCATCTAGAGATGATTTAAAGTATATGGGAGGAAATGCATAGGTTCTATGCAAATTCTTACTAGGGACTTGAGAATTCTCAGAGTTTTGTATACACAGGAGGTCCTGGAACCAATCCCCCATGGATACCAAGGGATGACTGTTTATTAATCCAATGAAACATTTGCTGAGTGCTTGCTACATTTCAGCCAGAGGTACAGAGATCAGTAGCAGTTCTGCTAGCTTACTGCCTAGGGTCCCTGAATCAATTTTCAGAGTATGAATAAGGTCCATCCATAAAATGTGTCAAAACTTTCTGATGTATTTTGTTGTTAGTATTTAGATAAACCCCAAAAAGAGGACTTTATGAAAGTAGTCAATGTTCCTACGTAGTGTAAATTCACCGTCCAAACCTAGTATTCATTACTGTTTTTGAAAAATGTTACTTTTTATATATTTCAAACATGCAGATGTCCTATAAGTGGATAACTTTTTAAAGGTCAGCTGAAGAATCTTTGACAAAAATAATTGCAAAATATACAAAAACTGAAGTCATATTGGTAGTACCTTGGCCTTTTCTGCAATTCTAATTTATTTTGAAGGTACTATTACATGCCTTAATATAGTATTCTTGGAAATGTACATAGTATTCATTCTTAAATGAACTGCTTATCAGTTTAACATTTTGCAACATCAGCGTTTCATTTATAAGTTGATTCCAGACAATCTACTTCCTGGCACAAAAACACTGATTTTTTATAAATATATAAACAAACCTCTTCATCCTTAAAATAACTGAATACTAAAATAAGATTAACATAGTTTTAAATTTAAAAAGGCAATGATGCAGGTTAGCTACTAAAAAGAATCACTATAGTTATCATTGCATTTTTTATTAAAAAGAATATCTCTTTAAGACAGATTTACTGTATTAAAAATTATCAGAACCTAAAGCATACTAAACATAAATTTAGCTGATCTCTTCCAATTATTGCAAATGTTCAAACACACCTTTACATACTTGTAATAAATGTGTCAGATGATCATGCAATGAAGGCACTATTTAAGAGTCACATATCAATATATTAGTTAACAAACCACAGTTACCTTAACCATCCTCTACCCCAACCATATGATGAATTGTTGAATAGCTGGGTGTTTTCAAGTTTTCACTGACTTGTGGCAAGAGATATATTTTATATTTTCTTGCTACAATTCCCAGCATAGTGTTTTACACATCACACATACTAAATGTGTATTAGGCACACCTTTATGTACTTTACCTTTCTGTTCTCCTTGGGTCATTTCTTTTGAGATGTTTTCAAAATAGATGGATAAAATATATAAATGATTTCAATCCTATTTTCCCATCAGATTGTTTTCCAGAAAAACTCAATCAATTTCCACGCCATTAGCAAAATGAAATAGTGAGTACATATACTCACTGAATAAGTATGTATACTCATTTCACCACATTCCCCATTGTGTTGTCCTTTATTTGTTTTGTGCTGTTAATTAGCTTTTGTGTATGTGCGTGAGGCTGTTCATTTAGTCTTGTGAAAATACTTGAATATAAATCATGTCCATCTAATATTTTATCAACAGGAATCTTAGGAATTTCTTATAATATTTTAATCATTTTTAATCCTGACTTTTCAAGTCACCTTATTCTACTAATTAAAATAGGTACCACAAATTTACTTAAATTCATTAAAGTGTATACTTACTATTCCAATACCAAAATGATTTCGCTTGTATTTTCATAGACCTCATGAAGATTTATCACACGGGGACAGGACTTTGCCAATTCAAGCACAGCAATCTCATGGAGAATCTCTGCTCGACAATCCTGTCCTCTCCTTCTCTTTTTTAGAAACTTTGCAGCATATTCTTGGCCAGTAGATTTTGATATACATTGTCTAACCACAGCAAATTTTCCTCTGGGGGAGAAAGATAAGGACAATCGATTTTAATTTTTCCATAGAGAACAGTATTAGTTTATTACAGATACTGCATATTTCCAACTTAAAGTTGATTCTTTCAAATATTCATGCCATTGGAACTTCTCTTTCTTCTCTCAACTGAATCAAAAATTATATATATACTTTTATAAAATTTATAGTGCTATTGTGTCAAAGTGTAAATGGCAAACTAATAACAGGATAAGACAAAATTATATTTATTCTTCACTATTAATATTTATTATCATTGCAGAGAGACAATCTCATTTAGATACAACTCCATGTCATACTCTTGATAGAAATTATTGTGTCTGAGTATCACAACAATTCTATATAGTAATTCTGATTCTGTTCTGCCGACCTCAGAGAAGACATGTAACTTGGTCAAGGTAAAGATTTAATCTTAGGTCTATTTCCAAATACCATACCCTTCATAGGGCATCATGTTAATTCTCTACTCAAAATAGCTTTTCTTCATTTATTTTAATTTTTTATATAAAAATTCAAATAAATGCAAAACAGATATCTGACTTATTTACTTTTATTAATGAATAATTTTGCCTTTCAGCACTTTTAACAAGCTCTGAAACTTCCTATCACAATTTGTCCAATATATCTCTTAGTAAGGCTCAGTAGTCCATGAAGCTTGTAAGAGATACCTAAAGTATACATGTCCTATACAAAATATTCAAAGACTGGCCGAGCCCGTGGCGCACTCGGGAGAGTGTGGTGCTGGGAGCGCAGTAGCGCTCCCGCCGCGGGTTCGGATCCTATATAGGGATGACCGGTGCGCTCACAGCACTCACTGGCTGAGCGCGGTGCGGCCGGTCTCAAAAAGGACAAAAAAAATAAATAAATAAAAATAAAAAATAAATAAATCAAAGACATTTCACGATCAACTAAAAAAAATAAATAATGGTTATCAAGAGCTATGTACAAACACCCATTAAGGTCATGTTTATCATTTAAAAATATTTTTAGCTCTCTCCAACAGCAGTGCCCAGCACCTCAGTCAAAATTTTAAAAGACTCCGAAAATTAGTTTCTATTGGCATATGTGTGCGCAATAAGTCTACAGTCATCCAAAATTTATGTTCACAGAGACATAAAGCTATTTTGAGTCAAAGACTATTTTGTGAAACTAATAAAAGCTATTGAATGCCTATTTAAAAAATATACACATGCCCTTAAATAGGAAGATTTACATACAATTCCAGAGGATTTTCAGATTTTGAAGCCCATCTGTAAACCTTCTAAGCCTGAGTCTAGGGGATACAAAATGAAGAACCTCTACCCTAAGGTTCAAATTACTCTCTAAAAATTATTCGAATTATTCAAATTATTCTGGCACTAACAGATCAGGTATAAATAACGGATCTTCAGAGGGTAACTTTTGATTCACAACTCCTCTTGCTCCAATTCCCCTCAGAATATACTTCTAACACAGCATAAACAGGCACCTAGCAAGGAAAACAGTTTTTAACACGCTTGGTGTTTAGGGTGTGTGGGACAGGGGGCGGGGAGGACAAATTGCTTGGCTGTATCCTACTTGCTAGTAGTTCCAAGGGCCAAGATGACAAAGATTCCTACTCTTTATTTCCCAAATTTCCTCAAAATTGGTGCTAATGAAAAGTACTAGAAACCAAACTGAAAAAGTATAGCTAGTAATGCAAAAAAAAAAAAAAAAAAATGTGACCAATGTATAATTTTATCCTTCTACATATATCAAAATATACATCAACTAAATAAATCTGCATGTACAAACCTGAACCTTTGAAAGCAGTTTTAAGATTTGAGAATGTTTAACTTTAACTATAAAATATTTTCTCACTGCATGCAAAAGGAATAAAATTGATGCATTTCAATGAGTACATAAATAAGTAAAATGGTCCCTTTGCATTCAAACCACTGGTGTTTTGTAAATTTTGTACTGGATAAACTGAGTCAGAATAAGATTAAATGACTCATAAAAGGTCATATATGGAATAAGGGTGCCAAGAATTAAACCGTGGAATGTGAATTTCTAACTTTTTGTTCTGACCACTACAAAATAATTCCTCCCTTTAAAATTGTTTTTTTAAAAAGTGCAACTTACTCACTTCTGCCAATTCTTAGATTTAGAAGCAAAAGCTTGTCTAAAACAGAAAGGAAATTTTGGGTTTTATGAAGAAATTCGCCTTGTAAAATATAGAAAACAGAAACTATTTAGCCAAGAAAATTGTGCATCTGAAAAAGTACTAATATATAACTTATAGTACCGATTGTGACAACTTAGTTCTGCTATCATTTTATGATGTCTACAAGCCAGAATTCTTTCAGAAACAAAGAGCAAAATTAAATAATAGCACTTTTTATCTGCTTCAGGTGTTCCTGAGAGACTTTTATAAATAAGTACAATACTCATTAATCCAAGGTAAGGTGGCCAAATGACATTGGTAATGATTTACCAATGTTCACCACTAAGGAAAAGTTCCATGAGGGCAGGGACTACATCTGTCTTAATTACTACAGTAATTAGAAAATCCACACTTTGCTAACTAACATATAATAGAAACTGAAATATTGTTTGAATGAATGCCAAAGTTATACACTTACTATACCATATACTGTGCTATTTTGCATCTGTTCTTAGAGCATTCATATTTTTTAAAGTTTACTTGAGATTCCAATAAAATTATATGCATATATCATTTATATACGGTGAAATAAAGTAAATATTTTTACTATAAAAATCAGATGACTTAGGGGGAAAAAGTTGTTTTCCATTTTGAAATGCTAGTTGTAGTTTAGAAGTATTGAAAGCAATCTTCAATATATTATGTTCCTTTACCAAATTTAATAAAAACTTTCAAGAAAACTTAAAACCCTTAGCAATAATCCTTAATTCAGACCCTAAAAAGGTAAGGTTGTACTTCCCAGCAGTGAAAAGGCCTAGTAGTTACCCTTCTGCATTGTAGAATACACAATAAAATGTGAAAGGAAGGGGGGGGAGGGTAAACCACAAAGGAAGCTGACGTTTATTTCTGAATCTGCCTCACCCTTCTAACCACCAGAAGTCCTATGAAACTTTGCCTCGGTTGGGGGAGGGGTGGAAAAAACTTGCCCAACATGTTACAAAACAGGAACAATGCAAGTTTTTTGAGAATAGTCAAAAGTGAACTGTAAACTTTTACATATTTTCCTTTAGTTTGCTAGAAGAAAATAAATTTTTGAATATTAACATCTTAAATTTCATAAAAAACAGTTGACTTAGAAAGATAACTTCGTAGTTCAACACATGCTAGAACCATATGTTTATATACTGCGAAATGTGCAAGCCTTGGAAGAAACAAGATTATGATCCTAATTTCCATTTCACAAAAGTATAGGTAACATTAAAACTTAAAATTGGTAACAATATTTAAAGAACTTTAAGCAAGTTCTTGGCAGATAAAAAGTCAAGATTTCTAATTTACCAATGTCTACTAATTAAATATATCAATATTTACCATGTGACTCATTAGCCCATATCAATTCAAAGAAAGACATTGATTAGGTCTCTCTCATGAAGATATTAGAAGATGGGATATTAGCAATCTGAATTTGTTTTAATCAAATTCTATCATGAGTTTTTACTCTAAAATGTTAAAACATATACCTGATTCAAGTTTATGACTGTTACTTGTGATGGTACCTCATTTATAAAACAATTTAGAATTTGACTGTTACTTGTGATGGTACCTCATTTATAAAACAATTTAGAATTATTAATATTGTCTTCAAAGTTTTTCTCCAAAACCCTCAAAGAAAAAAATATTTTATAGACTTTCTAGCTCCCATAATTTCCCTTACTGTGTAAAATTAATGTAATAATTGTAAGTAAATTTACCCATCAAAATAGTAACTTAGAATAGAAAAGAATGCCTTTTATTGTGTGTACTGTTCCAGGCTTTGCATATTTTAGTTTTCCACCACTGAAGCATTAAATTGAGGCTGGATAACAGCTTGTTGGGGAAACTATAGGAAAGATTGCTGCACTGCATAAAAAAATTGTGTTAGAAAACCACTGACCTCTTAAGTCCTTCCAATGCAAAGATTCTATGACTATTCAATATGAGATACAGCCAACTAAAAGAAAAATCTTACTCTTCTCTCTTACAATGTGAAAATAGTCATAGATTCAGAAGTAAACAATTTCCTAAAAACATTTCAAAGATTTTTAAAACTGTACCTTTTAATATACCATTAAAACACCAAAATTTTTGCATGTAAAATTAAATAAATTAGTATGCCAAGAATTATGAAATGTACTTTTACATTTAATTCTTAGTCAAGAATTATCATCCTTATTGTGGAAAAGAAAGGCTGCATCCAACATCTGCAAAGTGAAAAGGCCAGGATTTGCCTCTACCTTTAAGATAAAAGACCACCAAGAAAAGAATTACTTTTCATGGTTCAGTCACTTTTTGTTTTCACATTGAGATTTTCAAAGATAAAAATCAATCATACTATTTTACTGAACATCTCTCAATATAAACATGGACTTAGTAAACCATTTTAACACAAGCCAAACATTTACCTCCAGAACTAAAATCAAACTGAAAATATAAACTGACCAACCATCTTCTAAACCTTCATTAAGCACCTTTAATTTAAAGTTTAAAAGATGTTGAATATAACTTAAGTAACTTGCTATATCTTTTATAGCTTTCATATATACCAAAATAGTAGTACTAAATGGTCTCATAATATCAAGTCATTCCTTGGCCTTAAGGGATTTTATACCTTGCTTGAACCAAAAGAGAATTCATACAGCAATTTACTTACAGAACACTCATTTTTTGTGACACGGAATTATACTATCAAATATGAGTTCATTCTTTTTATTTAATTTAGGAAAGAAGAGGGGTAGAATCTCTGTATTTCTCTTCTAGCCCAGCACAATATCCTAGGAATTTTTAAAATTTTTTATTTAACAAAATCTTATATAGCACTGTACTAATAAGCACTTTACAAATATTAACTAATTTAATCTTCAAAACAACCATATAAGATACATAGAATTATCTTCATCCCTACTTTTCAGATGAGGAAACTAGGGCAGTAAGAAGTACAGTAATTTAACAGATGTCACACAGCTAAGTAAACGGTGGAGCTGAGATTTGGACTTCCCAGTCCACTATGCAAACTGCCTCTTCACACGCACAGTCTCAAATAAGAAGATCTCCCAGGACTCTGAAGCTAGGTGGGCTGTATAAACTCACTAAACCCTCTGCAGATTTGATTTTCAAGTCAGTTAAGACTAGACCCTGTATAATAGCAACAAAGATGGTGACATTTCTTTTTAATCATTGTTAAATAATGATCCAAAGTGAGTTTTACAGTAGAACCACAGAAACAGAAATCCAAAATTTGAATTTAAACAGCATACACATCATAAGGTTTCCTTACCTTCCTAGCTCTTTTGATGTAAGTGTATAGAAATTGTTGAAGTTTTCCATTTTCACTGGAGTTTGAGGAGTTGTAGTTAGCAGGCCTGAAATACTTCGGCAATCAAATCTTCTTCTTGACATGTTAGATGACTCCCAAATATGCTTCTTTAGTCACTTATTTTTACCTATTTTTTAAAAAAAGAGAGAGAGAGAAGATAGAAGATAGAACTTTAATGTAATTAAAAAAAATAATCTCAGGCAGGATGTGCATTACATTACACTACTCCAAATATAGCTATAAGATACAACTAAAAAGAAAAAAAAATAAATAAGAGAAGGTGATTTCAAGAGCACGTTCTACCTACAAGGTGGAAAAAAAAAAAAAAGCACACACACAAACTGGTATCACCTCTGGGGAACTCGAACAAAGTTAATGACTTCATTTCAGAATAAAACTACTGTAAAAATCCTCCCAAATTCTTAAAAAATAATTATAATAAAATTATAATGCAAGTAATGAGTTTCATTTTAAAATTCTCATTTTCTAAAGTTACAGCTTTCACATAACTAGGTAATTTAACATAACAAGGTAATTTAACATAATGAGGTAATGATTATGGATTTTAAATTTAATTTCATATGGCCAAAGAAATTTGGTGGTGAAAGGTGAAAAAAAAAAAAAGCACACACACAAACTGGTATCACCTCTGGGGAACTCGAACAAAGTTAATGACTTCATTTCAGAATAAAACTACTGTAAAAATCCTCCCAAATTCTTAAAAAATAATTATAATAAAATTATAATGCAAGTAATGAGTTTCATTTTAAAATTCTCATTTTCTAAAGTTACAGCTTTCACATAACTAGGTAATTTAACATAACAAGGTAATTTAACATAATGAGGTAATGATTATGGATTTTAAATTTAATTTCATATGGCCAAAGAAATTTGGTGGTGAATTCACATACTGTGTGCTATATTACTGACATGTGCATAACTACTTGAAATAGAACTTGTTCCATGGGCTGGCTGTGTTTCAGTACTAAATTCAGAAACTCTCATAGGGATCATAGTCTCTCCTTTGGCAGAACCTAGCACAGAGCGTGCCATGTATGAAGAGCTCAATAATTTTGTTGGATGAGACTGACCATACATAAAGCCTTATTGCGGAGTTCTAATCTATATCGGAAGTTCATATTTATCTGGAACTTAGTTATATGTGCATGCATTGTTTTAACACCCAAACTACTATTTCACATTAACTGAATTATATAATAATAGCAGACTATATATTTCAAGATACTCCAACTTTCTGCTATGCCAACCTAATAAAAAGATTAAGTGTAATTATTCTAGCACCCTCCTGTAACCCTCTAGGCTTTTGTTCCTTCTGTGCCACATTCTTCCTCCTCTTATTTCCTACTTGACATCTACTGTTCTTTATCTTCCTAAGTCCAAGTGCTGACTATATTCTACTTAGCAAATAAGCAGTATGATTAGAGTTCAATATTTTCAGTTTCTGTATTTTCTCTACTCGGTTTTATTCTCAAGTCAGTAAAATTCTTTTCTCTAAATCCCTTGTTTGTTTGGGGAAACAAAGTTCTAACTAGATTCAGGGTACATCTCTAGGAGTCTAAGGGTAGCAGTGCAGCATTCTGAAAACAATTCTTGGACTAAAACATACCTAGGTCTGAATTCATCTTATCTATCACACCAGCTATGAGGCCTTAATTAAATTATTTTACTTTGCTACTGTTATGGGGTGAATTGTGTTTTCCCCCAAATTCATATGTTGAAATCCTAACCCCCAGTATCTTAAAATGTGAACACTTTTGGATATAGGGCCTTTAAAGAAGTGAAAAAGTTAAAGTTAGGTCATTAGGGTGGGCCCTAATCCAATGTGACTGATGTCCTTTTAAAATGAAGAGATTAGGACACAGACACACACAGAGGAAAAACCATGTCTGAAGACACTGGTAGAAGACAGCCATTTACAAGCTAAGGAGAGAGACCTCAGAACAAACCGATCCTCCAAACACCTTAATTTCAGACTTCTAGCATCCAGAATTATAAGAAAATAAACTTCTGTTAAGTCTGCCAGTCTGTGGCAATACAGCTATTAAAAAATATATATTTCAAATGTATAGGAAGGGATATAAATACCATAACAAACACTTGCTCTTTTAAATCTTATTACTTGGCCATATTTCATTTAAATTAAAAATAAAACATCACAGAGAGAGTTCCTTCTTTCCATCCCCAGTTTATACTCCCACTAGTACTGGATGGGAGGGCTTATCACTAACCCCATTCAGACTTTTAATTTTGGCTACTGTAGTGTGATGAAGATGAAATGGAATTTTATTGTGATTTACTTTTCATTTCCCTGATTACTAGTGAGGAAAGCTTCAATTCTGGTGCTTCTAAAGTATTGGATGTTAATAGAATCGATCTTGCAGAACTCTAAGGATTAAAAATTAAAATATGATGAACTCACATAAAAGACACTGGTACGGTGCTAATCATGAGGGTACGTCATAATTGTTCCATAAAAATAAATTAACATTCTACCCAAGGATACTCTCTAAGCAGTCCCCTGCCATTACTGAGTGGCTGTACATCTCCATATACAAAACTGTCACCCCAAGTTAGCCTAAACTCAACTCTTAAAACTCTTTATTTTGTTTTGATTAACTATTGTGTATCTTCTTAGCCCTGATGTCACTAAGTTTCATTGGTCACATATTACTCTTTGAAAAATAAATATGAGTGCTAATTTCTATGCTCAATCCATTTTTTCAGTCATCTTTGGGCTTTTAGAATTTTAAACCTAAATTAAAATGTCTATGAGTAAGTATGCTTATGATCACATTCATATTGAACACATAAATACAGAATGAAGGGATATACCTGAATCATGGATACAATTGGGCTACATTCCCAACATTTTTCATCAATCAGGCCTTGGGAAATGAAAATAAGAACATGCCAAATTCCATCTTAGAGACAGAGTTCTTGATTCTAGACATCTGCCTCATCCAGATTCTAACATGTTTACTACACGCTGTACTGCATCAGCTTCAAAATGATCCATTCATAAGAACTCTAGGAGAATTAATTTATGTTTTATGAATAAGGATTTTCTGCTCTCAATTTTCACGAGTCAATATGGGTCTTGGATGTAGTCAAAGATTTATATTCAATGAAGCATAATTTATAATAGTGAAAAAAATATTTCAAAAACTCATTGAATGAATGAACCCAAGGTCCAAAAATAAACAATAAGGAAACAGTTACAACACACATAAATAATAGAATATTATACATTTGATAAAAATTGTGCTTTCAAAAAATATTTTTTAACTCATTAAGTGAAAAAAGGAAGACACAAAACTTTACATAGAATATGATAATTCTCTGGTAAAATATGAAAGCAAACAGAAGAAAAAACTGGAAAACTATGGTACAATGTTAACAGGTTATCATTGAGTGGTGTGATCATGACCAGTATTTATAACTTCCTATGTTTAAGTTATCTATATTAAGAAGATACTACTTTAATAATCAACAAAAACAAATGTCTTTGGGTAAAAAAGATGGCTGTGACTCTCTTCACATCACATAATGAGATTAAATATTTTCTAAACCTCCCAAAAGTATTAATACTTATTGATTACTAATAAATTCTTTCTTTGTGTTAAAAAAAAAAAAAAAGATGGCTGTGAATATACGACTTGACCTAAAATGCAAAAACTCAAAGACTTGCAACAGCAAAAAGTATCTACTTACACAGTAAGGGTTTACTCGGCTTAAAGTTCAAGAGCCACTATTGCTCAGGTTTTTAAAAGAAATACCACATGTTCTCACTTATTGGTGGGAGCTAAAAATACACAAAT